AGGGGGAGTGTGTGAGGAAAGGAATCAAGGGAAAAAAGAGGTAAGACATTTATGGGACACAGAAATGGATGACTATATTGATGATAATGTGTATAATATCTCCAACTGGATGACATATAGTGACTGAATGCATAAAATAAAATAGGGGCTGACAGGTGACGTGGTGGTTAGGGGTGCTGGACTCCTACATGGCTGACCATGGTTTGAGTCCCGGACCAAGTGGCTTGCTTTCTCATTTTCTCTCTCTCACTGACTCAGTCCCTATCTGGTCAAATTAAAATAAATAAAGTTAAATAAAGTATTTCAAACAAAAATTAATTAAGATGGTCCAACAGATAGCGTAATAGTTATTTCACTGGACTCCCACGTAGTCTACAATTCAAGTCCCAGACCTGGCAACTTAAAACTCACACTGGGCCCATGTGCATGCGTGCCCCAAATCCCAAGAAGAATGGAGGAGAAGGTTGCAGAGTGGCCATTACCTAGGGTGATGGTTTCTCATCATCTATCTCTCTGGCGAACACATGAACCCCATACCAAAAATCTCTCAAAAAAAACAGTACAAATATTACAGACAGATAATACGTGAAATATCCCTCAAAAAGATATATGAGGATAAAATAAAACCATTAAGGTAAGAGGGTTATTCTCCTAATTAACAATGTCTCCAAAAGAAAAGAAAAAACAAATGTGGTTAGATTTTCTAAAGCCTGCTCTATTTATAAATGCAGCTTGGTGTTTACAAAACCAAGACTGTCTAAGATCAAATATCAGTTTCACCATTTACTGGCTGTTACTGGGCAAGTCATTAACCCCCAATTTGTTTTATCTATAAAGGGAGCATAATTTATCTCAAAAAAACTAAGAAGGACTAAACAAAATACTGAAGTATTTAGCACATAACAATTGCTCAATAAATATTATTACTCTGTAACTATACAAAACAAAATATTATATTGTCAGGAAAGTCATGACATATTTTTCTTGGCAAAAATGCATCATGACTTTCCCAACAACCCAATATATACATATTCTACTGTTTAGAGACTTTTTAGGTCCACCTAGATTCTGCCATCACATTAAGAACTGACTCAAATGGTATTAGGTCTCCCCCACATTGATTTACTATGAACATCAACTGAGGAAGAGGTAGGGTTTTAAAGTCAGAGATAAAAACCTAGTTCCCTTTTTCCATTTCTCAGGGTATTCTCTCTGAGATACCCCCTCCCCCTTTTTTTAATAGAGATTTTTGCTATAGGGAGTGTGCATGTGCTGAAGAGACAGAGACAGAAAGCACGAAATCACCCCCCGGGACAGGGCTATGCTACAATCCCTTCTCCTCCATTCTCCTCTCAGGCTTTTAGGTATGTAGGCACATAGACATGTCCAGTGTGAGTTTTAAGCTGTTGGGTCCAGGACTCAAACCACAGTCAACAACGTAAAAATCCAGTGAAATAACCATTATATCACCTGCTGGTCCCACACCACCCTCCCTCAATTTTAAGGCTTTTGCCATAGGGCACATGCATTCGCAGAAGACAGACAGAGACAGTGAGAGAGAAAGTGAGAAATCACCCCTCCAGGGTGGATGGAAACACAGCAATCCCTTCTCATCCACTTTCTTCCTGGGATTTTGGGCACACATGCACACGTGACCAGCACTGAGCTTCAAGCCACCAGGTCCAGGACTCAAACTGTGGTTGGCCATGTCAGAGTAGAGCACCTTAAACACTATGCCACCTGCTGGCCCCTCTAAGATCCCATTTATTATGGGTAAAAAGGGTTGAAAAACCACAGGATACCTATGAGGACTACAAAGAAAAAGAGAACCTAACACAGAGTCTGGCTCTTGTTAGAACTTCCCTCTTAAAGGCTTCCTGCTTTACTCACATCTTTGGGAGGAGGTCCCTCTACTGTCATGGAGACCAGATTCTCTCCTCGCAGAAGCACCAGGCCAAGGACTCGCTTCTCTTCTCTTTCTGCTTGTTTGGAGTTCTTTGGCCTAAAGGTAGGTTTAGAAGAGACAAAAAAAGCAAGCATCAGAGAATGGGTAAAGTTCAGGTTCACCTGCCAAGGGTCCTCCATGAATTGCTTCATACTACATCTCCTGACAAATGGCACATCTACTTTCCCCTAAGACGGCCCCTCTGGACAGTCTTTGAGAGTTGAACATATAACCTCTTAGGTGGTTGTCCATATGCTTCCCACCATGCCAAGAGAAAGCACAGACCAAGAAACAGGACGAGAGTCAAAAAAATCCTAGTCCTGGCTCAGATGATATTCTACATCAAAGGCCTTTTCTACAGTCAAGTTTTCTTTGCTATTACTCTGTTCCCTCTCTTAAGACCTTAAGGCCTTGCCAAAATCAGGGGCCGGCCTAAATGAATTCTCAAGTCAATCAATCTCACTCAGCCTATTTATGCGCAACGTCCTTATAGAACCAATTCAACTTCACAGGACTCTAATTCTGTTCCTCACCTCCCTTCAGAAATAGGAAAAGCCATGAAAGAAAAGGTGAGAGAAATTTCACATACACAGTAATTCAAATTTCACATCTGCTATATAAAAATTTCAAGTGTTTCTCAGTAGCACAAAAACAGAAACCTCAAGAAGCAACAACGAGAAAAAGATAAACAAAATATAAATGTAAATTAAGAAAAATAACTGCAACAGAATAGGAAAAATGGGGAAAAAAAGGGCAAAGCCAAGATCCTAAAATAAAGTTATCCTGATTTTAACAAACAACTAAAGATTTCATTTTGATATTTTACATTAAATTAACTAGTTTCCTGTGCATAGATTTTTTTCCTTTTTATTTCCTATTTTCTTAATTTTTAACAGGCATGCGCTACCCTTTTATAGTAAGAGAAAAAAATCCTTCTGGGTATTTTGTTTTCGCAGACTTTATTTCTGAAAAATATTTTCCAATAAACCTTTGTAAGTTATCAAAATAAAGTCAGTTTCATTTTAAAATCAGAAAGGAACCACCTGAAAAGTTCCACAAGAACATGCTAGCCCTTATCTACTCTGTACTTGGCATCAGATAGTCCTACATCATTTATCCTGTACTCCCTGATTTGGGGCTGCAGAAAACTAGCCCCAAAGAGAATCACACTGCATTTACAGCTGGTAACTACATAATAGGAACACTGCAGATGGCAAAACAGCTGATCAGAAATGTCACATAACTTCACTGGGCCTCAAGATGCCTTGAATGTAAAATGGGACCAAAAGCTAGACTACATCATTTAATGGGCCAGAAGCTTAAGATCTGTGAGTCTTAAGACTAGGGATTTACCCAATAACTTATGGAATTGTAGTATAGTAGAAAGTAATTCCAATTGTTACTATAAATGCCAACAAAAAAATCACTGGCCCCAAACCCACATGGGGAGCTGAGCACTTACCCTGAAGAGGGTCAGAGGCTTCTTAAAGCAGTTTTCAGACCAGGCTGCATTGGGAGAGCCCTTTAGGCTACAGCTTTACAAATAGGCAATGAGGCCAGAAAATCATGCTCTCCCCCCTTACACACCTGTGGGGAGAACATGAGAGCCCTTTACCCCAGTAGGCAGGGGCATGCAAAATCAGAAAAACAGAAAGCCTAGTAGCCCTCCTCACAATTTTTCTACAACTAGAGAGCAAGGCTTGCTAGACTGAGGAAAGAGACTTCATAGTGTCCCCATTTAAGCCGGCCCTCTAAAAGAGCAAGCAGAGAGGAACCAACTAGCTACACCACCACCTATCACCTGGCCCCCACCCAATCCATTCCCCACCTCGTTTCTGGCCCACTCCCCCGCCCCCCCAGCAGCCCTTTCCTCACTTGATCTTCCTAAACTCGTCACAGTCACAGAGGATCAAATTCATATGCTTGTCGAAAGCCTTGAAGGTGCCGATGAAGATGCGGCCATCTTGCAGGATGCACCTCATCCTGTAGTCGATGTGCTGCAGCATCTTGCTGCTCTTGCCCACAGTCTGCAGGAAGAATTCAGCAGGGATGAGACTCAGCTCCTTTTGGACCCACTCTCTCCTAATCCTCCCTAAAACCTCTGCACTGCTTTCTCTGTGTCCTTCTTTTTCAGATTCTCAGCTCAGCCTTCCACCCACAGCCCTTTCCCAGGAATTCTCTCATGTCACCCTGTTTTCAGCCCTGACCTCTGTCTGGTATCTGCTATTCTCTCTTCCCTTAAAATCAGTCTTTCTCATATTACAATGGCCTTTTTCTATGCTGTGTCAGTTTTAGGGTCAAAAGTGAAAGGTATCCCCAAACTAATTAAATTCACCCACGTCAGAGATTAGCTGCACGCTACTGTGCAGATTTTAGATGTGACTCAAGTGCTGCAGAACACCCAAATCCCATTAAAAAGACTGAAAAAAGTAAGACCTGGAATAGGATTTGTACCGAAAATCCAATCAATTATCAAAAGGAGCTGATTGGGGGACCAGCAGTTGGCATAATGGTTACATCGCAGGACTCCCGCAATCGACCGTGGCTTGAGTCCCGTAACTCAGCAGCTTAAAGTTCATGCCAGGGGTGTGTGTGCATGCGTGCCCAAGATCCCGAGAGGAGAATGGGCTGTGACGTGGCCATACCCCCTAGGGGGGTGATTTCTCGCTTTCTGTCTCTCGCTCTTTCTGGCGAGCACATGCACCCTATCGCAAAAAACCTCTCCAGAAACAAAGAAAAAGTTGTATTTCTCTCTAGAAACAAATCATGAGGCATTTGATAAGTGTATCAGCTTCCCATCATTCTGACTGGTATAGGCCTGTCCTAATCATCCAACAGCCTCCTACGTACCAGGCACTGTGCTTACTGTTCATCTCCATTCAATTCAGGCAGGAATAAGTTTCTGAACCTACAAATGTGTGGGTGAGAATCCTGACTCCCCCAACATACTGCCTAACATCTGCAGACCAGGTCTGCAGTTATTTCCCTTAGGTGATCATCATAATTGGCTTCCAACCCTTAGGCCAACATTCTTTGCCTTGCAATGCCTAACACTTACTGGGTGCTCACTGAGGAGTCAGGCTCTGGGATAAGCACTGTAGATCTCACTTAACCATCAAATTTGGGACCAGCATCATTCCTATTTTACAGGCAAGACTGGGAGAGGTTCAGGGGCTTGCCCTGTCTCACAGCTGGGAAACTGTTGGAACTTGGCCTGAACCCAGTGCCTATTCTTACTGATACTCTAAACAATGGCCTACCCGGTTTTCCCTTCCTCCAGGCTCATCCAATACACAACGGCTAGAGTGATCTTTCTAAACACAGCTAAGTTCATGTCACTTTGCTGATTAAAATTCAGTAACATAGCTCCCTCACCAACAGAATAAATATGCAATGCCTTTAGTAACCAGACTCCTGCTAATTCCTCCTTCTATCTGGTCCTACTTTCTCCTCCAGCGACTTTCACCCTTCACAGCTGTGCTCTTGTACAACAGTTCAATAGTTCCCCAGGTCTGCAATATAACTTCACACTCACGTGAAAACTCCTGACGATCGTTTTACGCCTTTACCCAGGAACCACCTATTACAGAAAGTATTCTTACCACGCCCCTCACCGTTACTTCTACCTAATGCTAAATTATCACATTGAATTACGTTATCCGTGTCCCCAACTAAAAAAGTTGGGTCGGTGAAAGAAACTTATCTCATGCTGTAGTCCAGCGCCCGAGAAGTCAAACACAAATTCGCTGAACCAGTCGGACTCCTCCGAACGTTCACATTCACTCTCCCGCGCGCCCTCTGCTACACCAGCTTCGAGCCTCTCCACTTCTTCCCATAACCCCTCAGACTCCCTTTCCAAAGTCCGAGCCTTTTATCAGGGCCTCCCTGGACCTCCTATGGTTCTAGTGCCTGCTCCAAAACCCCGAACAGACGTTTATTCTACAAGGTTTACTTGGTGCCGCAGTAGGCACAAAGGCAATGCCCCAGGCATTGTGGTTATGGCGGTATCGAGGGACTTTCTCCCCTAGTTCCGGCCTTTTCTCCCTTTCCCTGCCGGGCCGAAAGGCCCAGGTCTGGTTTTCTGCGCCGGGACCCAGCGGCCGCGGCTCGGGCCTTCGCCGACATACGCGGCTCCAATCCATGGCTTCCTCCCCAGTCGGGGTCCTCACTCCACAACAGACTCAGAAGGTCACGCGCCGCCAGCCAGTATCCCCTTACCATGGTGGCGGTTCTGATGGCTCCGATTCCCGCCCGATTCGCCTCCACAGAGGCCTAGTCGCCCGCCTGCAGCCCGATTCCCGCCGCCGCTACCGGAAACGCAGCCGCCGACAAAATGCGGTCGGGTAGAAACCTACTTCCGGTCCGACACACGTTCCTAGAGTTCCGGCCCCAGGGCGGAGTGGAACTCCGAGCGGAGTGGGGCGGGGTTAACATAAAGCTTTCAGCTTCTCAGGGAGGCTAAGGTCACTCTTCGGATACCGCAAGCTGCCTGTCGCGCTCATCTCTCTGTGCCCATCACCTTTTGTTCCTCATCTCCCACCAACTCTCCCCGCTGTCCCTTCCACAGCCGCTGTCCTTGCTTTTCCGTGAGCCGGCTGGACGCACTCTGGCCTTAGCACCTTTGCAGTTGCTTTGGGCTCTGCCTGGAATGCTACCCTCCCACCCAACCCCACCCCCGTACGTGCGCGCTAATAAGTTCTCCAGTACTTAAGCTTCAATAACGTTTTCCCAGTGAGGACTTCCCTGGCCACCCTGTTCAAAACTGCGATGTCCTCTGCCTCATTTTTCTGTTTAATATTGTTATCTCACACGCTGTTTTTGTTATTTCCTCCCCATTAGAATGTAAGCTCCGCGAGGGTATAGAGCTTTTTGTGTTGTTCATTGCCATAGTGCCTAGAACACTACCGACTTAGCACAAAATAAGGGCTCAGGGACCAGCAGATGGCATAATGGTTACATCTCTGGACTCCCACGTAGTCAACTGCGGTTTGAGCCCCAGGCCCACCAGCTCAAAACTCCGACCCGTGTGTGGGTGCCCAAAATCCGATAGGAGAATGGAAGAAAATGGTCTGCAGTGTGGCCATCTCCTCTCCCGCCACTCCCACCCCCCAATTGCTCCGTCTCTCTGTCTCTCCAGCAAGTACACGTGTCCTATAGCAAAAATATTTCTCTAAAAAAATAATAAAGGGCTCAATAAATATTTGTTGAATGAATAAATCAATGAATTTCATCCAGTTCCCAAGATTTTTATTTATTTTTTAGAAGAAATCTTTTTTTCCATTTGCTATAGGGCACATGCACTCACCAGAGAGAGGAAAATGAGAAAACAAGTCATCATGTCCAGGACTCGAAACACGGTTGGCCAACTGTGATGTGAGTCCAGTGCCTTAACCACCAAGCACACTATCTGCTGATGCCCCCTCCCCCGACCTTCAAATACTCCCTGTATGCCTAGGTTTTTCAAATATATTCCTCTAACCTTGCCCTTTTCTATCTCTTGACCTTTTCTGTCCAGCCCCTGTTTGACAGGATGGCTAATCAGTATGCTAAATTTAACATGTTGAAGGCTGAATTCTTTATTCTGTTCACTCTTCTTCCCAAAGGCACTTCTCCACGAGCTTTCCCCATGTCAGAAGTTTCTTGGGTTAAAAAAAAAAAAAAAAAAAAAAAAAAAAAAAAATTTTGAAGAATCTTTCATTTTTTTTTCTC